CACCATCTACATTTACAATTTTTGTGAAGAGATTTTCAAATTCATCTAGATGCTTAATAGCACTTAAACGAATATCATCTGACATCTACATCTTTATATTTTAAAATGGATCGAGTATAGATTAGTAGATCCTTTCTCATGCCCCATACAAAAATATGTTTTGGTACAAACACATTTTACACCACTCGATTTGATTCGAAATCTGGGAGATCACACTTACACCGAAACCATGGAGACGTGCTCGCTGAACACAATCATACTATCCGATCGATTTTTCTTTTATCGAGTTTCTGCTTTTCTACACAAAATGTATTAAATATTTTTATTTGAATACAATTTTACATTCAATTCATAAAAAGAAAAAACACATTTAACACCACAAATCAATTAATTTTTAACCAACCTATGATGGCCTATTACTTGTAGGGTTTATTTTAGGAAAACCGATCATTTTAATACCGAACTATCCGTTTTACGCCGAAACAAATACCAACTTTTTGGTGAGTCGAAAGATAATCTGACTCGTGTTGACTAGGCCAAATTAAGTACAATTTTAGTCAAACATAACCACCATTTAAGAAGCATTAAACTCTGTTTATCATTAACATTAACACATGTTTAAAGCAAATTGTGTCGTTTTAAAATCAGAAAAAACCAAAAGAAGTCTAAATCTCCAAATCGATTTAGAAATCTCTAATTCTCTTCTTTGATCTATCTTCCTCCTCTCTCAAAATCGATTCCGAAAAGATGAAAACAAAGAAGCTTGCGGCGCGACCGAAGCCTACTACTATGCCAAGTGATGAACCTTCATCTTCTTTCAAGTCATAGATCACATATCTTAAACCTTCGAGCTCTGATTTCACATTGTAAACTTCAATCTCAATATTTCCGAGTTTTGGTGAGGCATCTTAACCCATTTAAAGAGATGATCGTGATAATACAACAAATCAGATTGTTAAGCAAATAGAACATGTTAAATTGAGGATACAAGTAAAGCGAATACTTACATCGAACATTGTAGTTATTGTAGAAATCTACTGAGGCAGAGAGAATTTGTTGTTCACGAATCCTATGTTTAAACGGTGTTAACGTCCACAGTAAACTGGGTCCTTAAACGGATGTTAAATGTTACTGATAAACTTTCAAGCTTTCCACTGCGATTTCAACCATGATTTCCCGGTTATATTGTTTGATACATTTTTTAAAAACGACATGTTCTAACAGAAGTGTGTTAATCAGTTAATAGGGAACAAACCGAAAAAAATACTTTTATTTTCCTGGACAAAAAAAAGGCTACAAGAATTGAAGTGATACATTACAATCATTTACTCTCATGCAAAGACCGTTATAAAAGATAGTAATTATCAAATTTGAAGAAGATATTATGTACAACGTTTGGCATATATGATAAAAAAAATTGTGGAACATCTATCAAACTGGTAGATATATATATTCTGTACATGAAACTCGATTCCAAATAT